CCCTGCACCACAGGAGGGGCCGAGTTTGTCCCCCCTGCACCGAGGTGTTGGGTTTCCTGCTGCAACCGGATGGACGGACGCACGGACACCGCCCGAGACGTCCGTCCCTCCCCGAGCGGGCAACGGACCAAAGCCAGGGCTCGGCCCCCTTTTCTCCCCCCCCTTCCCCCCCCCGGCCTCGCTGAGAACCTTCCCCGGGCTCCAAGCTCAGCTCAGCTCGAGGGGTTGCCCCTCTGCTCCCCAAGGATCTGAGAGGGGGGGGGCAGAGCCTTTTGGTGACACCGCGGCCATTTGGCAAGAAACAATACCTGGGATGGAGCATCCCACGGGGCTCCAGCATCACCCAGACCTTTTTGGGGGTGCAGGGATGCGGGAGGATGGAGCGGGTTTGCTCCAGCATCCCCTGGGATGGAGCATCCCACGGGGCTCCAGCATCACCCAGTCCTTTTTTGGGGGTGCAGGGTAGGTCACACACACCACAATCCCCCCCAAAACATCCCCCGGGCTCCGCCGCCGCGGGGATGCTCCGGTGGGGAGCGGGATGGGACCCACGGGGCAGGGATGTGGGAGGACGGAGCGGGTTTGCTCCAGCATCCCCTGGGATGGAGCATCCCAGACCTTTTTGGGGGTGCAGGGTAGGTCACATACACCACAATCCCCCCCAAAACATCCCCGCGGGGATGGGGTGGCACTGATAATGGGGACGTGGTCCCCAAAGCCCCACTTGTGTCCCAACATGCCCCCCCGATGCTGTGGCCCATGATCCAGTGGCTCCAGGGACCCCCGGGCTCCGCCGCCGCGGGGATGCTCCGGTGGGGAGCGGGATGGGACCCACGGGGCAGGGATGCGGGAGGATGGAGCGGGTTGGCTCCAGCATCCCCTGGGATGGAGCATCCCACGGGGTTCCAGCATCACACGGACCTTTTTGGGGGTGCAGGGTAGGTCACACACACCACACACACCCCCCAAAACATCCCCCGGGCTCCGCCGCCGCGGGGATGCTCCGGTGGGGAGCAGGATGGGACCCACGGGGCAGGGATGCGGGAGGATCCAGCGGGTTTGCTCCAGCATCCCCTGGGATGGAGCATCCAGCATCACCCGGACCTTTTTGGGGGTGCAGGGATGCGGGAGGATGGAGCGGGTTTGCTCCAGCATCCCCTGGGATGGAGCATCCCAGACCTTTTTGGGGGTGCAGGGTAGGTCACATACACCACAATCCCCCCCAAAACATCCCCGCGGGGATGGGGTGGCACTGATAATGGGGACGTGGTCCCCAAAGCCCCACTTGTGTCCCAACATGCCCCCCCGATGCTGTGGCCCATGATCCAGTGGCTCCAGGGACCCCCGGGCTCCGCCGCCGCGGGGATGCTCCGGTGGGGAGCGGGATGGGACCCACGGGGCAGGGATGCGGGAGGATGGAGCGGGTTGGCTCCAGCATCCCCTGGGATGGAGCATCCCAGACCTTTTTGGGGGTGCAGGGTAGGTCACACACACCACAACCCCCCCCAAAACATCCCCACGGGGATGGGGTGGCACTGAAGATGCCCCGCTTGTGTCCCGCCGTGCCCCCCCGATGCTGTGGCTCATTCGGGCCCGTGATCCAGTGGCTCCAGGGACCAGCATCCCCTGGGATGGAGCATCCCACAGGGCTCCAGCATCACCTGGACCTTTTTGGGGGTGCAGGGTAGGTCACACACACCACACAACCCCCTCCAAATACATCCCCACGGGGATGGGGTGGCACTGAAGATGGGGACGTGGTCCCCAAAGCCCCACTTGTGCCCCCCGATGCTGTGGCTCGTTCTGGCCCAGTGGCTCCAGGGACCCCCAGGCTCCGCCGCCGCGGGGATGCTCCGGTGGGGAAAGGGATGGGACCCACGGGGCAGGGATGTGGGAGGACGGAGCGGGTTTGCTCCAGCATCCCCTGGGATGGAGCATCCCAGACCTTTTTGGGGGTGCAGGGTAGGTCACATACACCACAATCCCCCCCAAAACATCCCCGCGGGGATGGGGTGGCACTGATAATGGGGACGTGGTCCCCAAAGCCCCACTTGTGTCCCAACATGCCCCCCCGATGCTGTGGCCCATGATCCAGTGGCTCCAGGGACCCCCGGGCTCCGCCGCCGCGGGGATGCTCCGGTGGGGAGCGGGATGGGACCCACGGGGCAGGGATGCGGGAGGATGGAGCGGGTTGGCTCCAGCATCCCCTGGGATGGAGCATCCCACGGGGTTCCAGCATCACACGGACCTTTTTGGGGGTGCAGGGTAGGTCACACACACCACACACACCCCCCAAAACATCCCCCGGGCTCCGCCGCCGCGGGGATGCTCCGGTGGGGAGCAGGATGGGACCCACGGGGCAGGGATGCGGGAGGATCGAGTGGGTTTGCTCCAGCATCCCCTGGGATGGAGCATCCCACGGGGTTCCAGCATCACACGGACCTTTTTGGGGGTGCAGGGTAGGTCACACACACCACACACACCCCCCAAAACATCCCCCGGGCTCCGCCGCCGCGGGGATGCTCCGGTGGGGAGCAGGATGGGACCCACGGGGCAGGGATGCGGGAGGATCCAGTGGGTTTGCTCCAGCATCCCCTGGGATGGAGCATCCCACGGGGCTCCAGCATCACCCAGACCTTTTTGGGGGTGCAGGGTAGGTCACACACACCACAATCCCCCCCAAAACATCCCCCGGGCTCCGCCGCCGCGGGGATGCTCCGGTGGGGAGCGGGATGGGACCCACGGGGCAGGGATGCGGGAGGACGGAGCAGGTTTGCTCCAGCATCCCCTGGGATGGAGCATCCCACGGGGCTCCAGCATCACCCAGACCTTTTTTGGGGGTGCAGGTAGGTCACACACACCACAACCCCCCCCAAATACATCCCCACGGGGATGGGGTGGCACTGAAGATGGGGACGTGGTCCCCAAAGCCCTGCTTGTGTCCCACCGTGCCCCCCCGATGCTGTGGCTCGTTCTGGCCCGTGATCCAGTGGCTCCGGGGACCCCCGGGCAGGGATGCAGGAGGACAGAGCGGGTTGGCTCCAGCATCCCCTGGGATGGAGCATCCCAGACCTTTTTGGGGGTGCAGGGTAGGTCACACACACCACAACCCCACCCCCAAAACATCCCCGCGGGGATGGGGTGGCACTGAAGATGGGGACGTGGTCCCCAAAGCCCCACTTGTGTCCCACCGTGTCCCCCCCGATGCTGTGGCCCGTGATCCAGCGGCTCCAGGGACCCAGAGCCCGGCTCGACCCGCACCGAGTGAGAGTTGTGACTCAGCCACCTGCTGACATCATCCCTATTAATAGTGGGCTTTGTGAAAATTAATTAATACAAA